AATGGGCTGATAGGTGAGTGAGGTGAGTGAGAAATAAAGAGACAGGAGAGAAGGGGCAGAGCTGTGACACATACTGTATAGCTCATTTATATTTTAGTCTTGGTAAACAATTTCCTAAACTAAAAATTTTTAGAATTTTGCACCTTGATGGAAATTTGTGATGGGCTTAGTAAATATCCTCGGTTTTGCCCGTTAAAAATTTCACAAATTTGTCTGCCATCATACTGATCAATGATAAGAGCTGCAGCATGGTGGAAAATACTGGCCTATTAATGGTATTCATTATTAGAACCACCATTAAGAGATTGTGGGAGGACTGGGTAAAAAGACTAGAATAAAAAGCCAGAGGAAACAAAGCACTCATTGAAACAGTTGAACGTTATCTCTTTTCCAGAAAGGATGTGGGATTAATTCTTTGTTTTACATAGTTTTGTATATAAGATTATGACATGTTTCTTTGAGAACTTTTTGAGACTTTTGCAGTACATAGTATTCCTCTATCACATCAATGGGGGCTCTGTGATGAGAAAGACTAATATGACAAGCTTGTTTGTCTTCACTAAGTGGTCATTAAAAGGGTAACACAGATGACTCTGCCTTTACTTGACTCAACACACAGTGACTCACCGAAGCCTTCATGTTTACTTCCATTCACTCATAAACATCTGACTACTGCTTATAAAACAGCACCTGGATACTGTGACTGGAGCTCAGATGGTCAGTGACAGGCTAACTGCAGGGCCTGCACTTTACTCCAACTGTAGGTGTCGACACTGCACAAACATCCTCATTTTACAAGCCATTTGGTTTATTGTTGAGTCCGGAAATCCAACCCAGTCGCCTGAAAAAGAAATGGTGGCGTTGTACGTATCAGCAAACTATGGGATACGTTGAATGTCACTTTCAGCCTCGTATCATGCTTGCAGAAACACACAACGCCACATGGTCAATGCTGTGAAACCATTGTTTTGGTTAAGGTTGTTATATACGTCATGGTTTGTGTTGAAATAATTACGCAACAATGTAACGTAACGTAACAATGTAACAACGTAGCAATGTAACAACGTAACGCATCAACGTAACAATGTAACAACGTAACAATGTAACAACGTAACGCATCAACGTAACAATGTAACACATCAATGTAACATAACAACAAAACGCATCAACGTAACAATGTAACGTGACAGCTTTAACAACGTAACTAGCATAAATAAAAACTGTTTGCCTTTGGTTTCACATGCCACTCGAACAGCGGTTTCCTGGGTGAAAGTCCCTCTGCCAGCCGTTAGAGGGCTTCTCTCGCTTGTCAGGCCTATTGTTATCGAGGGCTGCAGGAATGAGTCCTAAAACCCGTAAGTGAGCCAGCATTTTAGCACCTCCGGTTCCGTTGTCTCAAAGTCAATGGGTCTTTTGAATGTTTATTTTGGTAAGATGTCTGAAATAAGGTCTGTGGTTAACACAAGCATATGAGTTTTCTACAATATAAAATACTTGCTTATTAATGATTGTAATAGTTAATTAAGACCTACCCAGCTTTACAGGAACTGTGTTGTTCCTTAATTTCATTGTCTTCTGTCTCCATCTCCAGGTGATGTGATGGTTTACTTTTACAATGTGATTCTGTCTTTATCTTTTTAACCTGTTTGCACCGCTGAATCAGTTTGAAATCCTGAATATATCCATCACACACATATTGTCCCTTCTGTCTGCTTCTCTCTGAAATCGATGCTAGTTAAGTTCAGTGCGTGCAGAAGCCACGCCCAGACAGACACACAGGGAGAGCACAAGAGACAAGAGGGCAGGAAACAGGAACACAAGGAAAAGATAGAGAGGCAAAGACCAGGAATGCACTTTTGTATATTTTTCTCCAAAATTTGATAATACTTCTTCAGTGACTGCGCTTAGTGACAGTGTGGGCTCCACGCTAGCTCTGACAGCTATACAGAGTAGCAGCCTGGGGAGGGGCTTAGCAAATGGTGCCAGTTTGATAGAATGCATAGTGCATGACGCTATAAACACCAGAACAGTCCACCAAAACACTTTACATTAAAATTAGTATTTTATGTTGTGTGGATACATTGACATCCTTATTTGCTTTGATTATGCTTTTGATTGGATGCAGATGTGTCTCAGGAGTCATTTACATATAACCAAGACAACCAGCTAACACGTGGCCCCACATTTGATTGGAGCAGCACCATTTGAATTAGTGGCTCATCGCTTGTTCCTAGGTGTTAGATTAGAAAAAAATCCAAATATAGTCTAAACCTGGGCTATATTTAGTCAATACCCTGGTCCATATCAAAGCTATATCAGAGCTAAATCATAGAGGAAGTCTGGAAATGATGTTTATGCTCAGTGGGAGGAAAACCGAAGCAGAACCAGTGACGATGGATACCTTCATTCGTTAAGGTCATGCAGGATTAAAGGAAACACAGAAATAGCCATAAAAACAAGTCAGGCAGGTCAACAGTGCTTACTACAGTATATGGAAGAGAATAAGAAGGCAAATTGTAAAAACTCTGACCCAAACTGTAGGTTGTAAACATCCCTCACAGTTTATTCATCCACTTCCTGCCTAAACTCTGACCTACAGTACTTTCTGTAGTTTTGTAGTGGACAATGCGGGATTATTAGCAACATTTCAGGTGTGCTCATTTTCAGTTTGACCTCCAGTAAAAAAAGAGTTTCATATAATCTGCAAGAACTCTTGGCTTGTCTTCAACCTGTTTGATGGTCTGTCTGCTCTTGTTCCTTGTCCGGTAAAAAAGCTCAACAACTAAGATAAATGATAGAAAATATAACGTCATGGTCCGAGACTATCACAACTGACCGACGGAAATGACGAACACTGCCAACAGACTTAGGTTGTGAAAAAAAATACTGAAATTATGAATTTAAACAAGTGGAGAGACTCATATTTGCCACATAAAGAATTCAAATCAGAAAACAACTTCAGCTGTGCTGTGGCCCTTGTATCACATGACTGCCTGTTGATATTTGAACACTATCTGCTGTGCTGTTCCTGTCAGCATACACTTCTATGTTGATGAACACATTATAAAGTATATTTAAAAAGATTTTTTCTAATGTCTCTGGTTCTCCTTTTTCTCAAAAACATGATTTTACACTTTGAACGATTCTCATGCTGCAATGCCACTTGTTGTCGTAAAAAACGACATACATGTTAAAAATACAGGATCACTTATATCTTTATTCTTTAACACGTTCTTTTGCACAGCCTACAATAAATATATGAATACTTTGGCTTGAGCATCTGACCAGCGTCAAGTCCACAAACACCTACAGCGAGGTGAGCACTTGTATAATTGAGTGTATAAAGCAACACAAACTGATTTTGCAATACAATTGATCTTAGTAATTAAAGTGATAGATTCATAAAGCTCAATTCATGTCTTTGATAGCAACACTGATTATGACTGATGGCTGGGGGCCTGAGATAGCAGCCCTGGGCAGGGCCGAGTTAAGCGATTGTGGGGAACATTTTGGTGCTCTGCTATTATTCTGGTTAGAAGAGAGTAAGATCACAGTGAGTTTGAAGCCAGCATCAGCACAACCCTGCCCGACACTCTCACATCAACGCAAAATCGTCATTCCGTGCAACTAAAGCCATTTTTGGATGGTAGGATCCCCGTCTCCTGCAGCCTACATGTCATACATGCTGCCTTGTGTAGTAATAATAATAATACGTCAGGTTTATATAGCGCTTTACAAAGTCCTCAAAGACACTTAACTTAAAGATTAGAATAAATGGTATCAACTACGAAATAAAAAACATGAGGGCGGGGGGTTTGAGCACCTCTTTGATTGTCGACAATGTGGGGCCATTTTTGATGTGATTTGGGAATGACTTTCCAGGAGAGGAGGCTAACAACTAAGAAACACCCCGTCACCCCAGGTTTGACGCCTTGCAGGAGGTTGAAATTGACGGACCTGAGTCATCGGGAGGGAGCGTGCTGGTGGAAGAGGTCAGAGAGGTAGGGGGGAGCCACGTTGTTGAGGGCCTTGTTGGTGGTGAGTAGGTTCTTGAAGTTTAGCCTGTGTTAACCTGGTGCCAGTGGAGGTCATGGAGGACTGGGCTGATGTGAGTGATATGTTGGGAATGTTAGGGGGGTGGAAGAAGGCTGTTTTGGTGAAGTGGTTGACATGGGGCAGTGTTATGGTCTACAGGGAGAGGTAAAGTTGAGTGTCATCAGCATAACAGTGAAACTGGAGGCCATGGCGGCGAAAGATCTCTCCATATGGTAGAATGTAGAGGATGAAAAGAAGGGGAACGAGCACTAAAGCCTGGGGACACCATGGGTGACAGGAACATTGGTTGATTTGCAGTTGTTAATTGAGATTAATTGATGTCTGTCGGAGAGGTAGGACTGGAACCAGTGCAAAGCACAGTGTAAAGGGCTTTGAGGGGTCACAAAGACTAGAAAAGCGCTATATAATGCAGTCCCAACAGATCCTAAGGATTTCATATAAAATCTGAATTGTACAGATATGTTTCTATTGATGACCACAATGATAAGTCATTTGTATCTCAACCTGACTTCATGTTTGGGGTTCACCTTGAACTTGTACGCAAAACAGCTTGAGCTGAAGGACTCGTTGCTGTGGCAACAACTGAAGATGAATGCCAGGGTTGAAGAATTGGAAAATCCAGACGTGTCAAATCAGCAACAATCAAATCAAGCTAACTAGATCCCTGTGTGATAAAGAGGTTTTTGATATGATTCACATATCAGTCATGAAAGCAAATCATATTGAGTGGCCGAGAAAGATAAAAACAGTTGCGATTCACTCGACATTGTCACTATTATAACAACATCCTCTTTGGATGGAACGGGGTTAACACAAGCTGATGAGATAGGAGGAAAAAGATATGCCTGTAAAATACTGTGACACAGAGCATGTACTCTAAATTTCAAAACATGTCTGGTCTACACAACAGTGACACTCAACAGTATGACCCAAAATGCAGGTTCTTCATTCAAAAATTTACTTTTAAGACCCGTCTGATGGTTGTTCTTCAACAAACACATTTCAATATTGTTTGTGTTTTACAAAAGATAAAAGTAAATGTTAAACTCATTTATGATTGGTGACAGAAACAAACAAGAAAAACTAGTTTTACTGTTTGCACACAACCGTTCAAAAGTTTGGAATCTCCTTCCACAGAAGCTTGATGAGGTACAGTCAGATGGCTGAGAGGACTGAACAAGACCCCCCAAAAAACAGACAATGTCAATATTAAGAGCCCATATCACCTTTGTGTTTCAATAATGATCAATGGTCATAGTTTTCTGTCCTGGAAAAATAATAAAAAATCAAGGTTCCAAAAGCATACCCCTCTGTCTTGCAAAACAGTGGGGACGTGGACTAAATGGAACTTTAAATCCTTTCATTCTTCATCTTTTGGGGCCAAAACTACTTCAAATGTAAATGATACATTTAGTGTCTGAATTATACTGTACTTCTCTGTTATACTATTTATTATTGAACAGCTGATTCCACACTTTTGAGCGGCGGTGTATGTTAAGACAAAGCCAGTAGCGAGTGACATGCATCATATAATAAACATTAGTTGAGTGAATTGCCAATAAATATGTTCCCAAGGGAATATTGCGCTTCTGAGACGCAGCACACATTGGAAGCTAAATGCGACTCAGCCACATCTAGTGCACATCGGGGGGGGGGGGTTAGATGGTAGTATCATGCTGCTTCGTGAAGAACAAAGATGGTGTGAGTCTTCTGCATCTGTCTAGTAGTAAGTGGACTGTGCACTTGAGTGTCATTATTTAGGAGGAGGCTATATTACAGGTTACTTATGTTATGTTTGTGTATTTTAAATTGCGCAAATAAACATTAACCATGTTCATGCTGAGGCAGCTCTTGATTAGCTTGCTTCTCCAGCCGTCTAGCTTCATACGGACTCTGACCGACTCAACTAAACAAGCTCTGATGATTGCCATGTTGCTCTGATATAGTGGGTCTACCCACGAACGTCTGGTCCAGGACGGCTGAGTCACGCAGAAACTGGAAGACATAAAAAAAGAGACTATATGCAGAGTACATTCAGATATGTGAGGAGAAGGACACTTGTAGAGGTATTCTTGGCACAGGCTCAATACTTAAAGCCAACATCTTCATCCTCTCCTCCCCTCCACAGCCTGCAGTAGTTCTAGTAGGAGGGCAGCCTAGTCCATTTCCTGGTTTGATCCCCATCACTGAGGACATACCCCTTTGAGCCAGGGCACCAAAATCCATGTAAATATACACTGACCTGGACGAGCTAAATACAGAGGCCAATTGCTTGCAATATGTCAATATCCAACACTGGGTAGTGTGTTGTGGTCAATGAGCCTCATACAGACACACAGTCTCTCTGCACTGACCGCAGCAGTGTGTGACAGCTGCTGGTCTCTGCTGGGAGCACGGCCGACAGAGTCTTGACTTTCCCTCCTCAGGTGCTGGAGCAGGTGGAAGGTGAGCACAGTGCATCCATCCATCCATCCATCATGATGCTGAGCAAGGACCATCAGCATCCTGCACCGCAGATCCCGTTGGTCAAGTCCTGGATGACTCCAGCCTTCACCAGCTTCAGCAGGAACTCCTTCTCTCTAGATATGTTGTGAGTCCAGGACTGCAGCGGGGACAGAGACACACAAGGACGGGACAGGAGGTGGTTGGGAATTATTGCAGACAGCACACTACACTCAAATTACGTTTCTATATTTCTCACTTTCAACATTTCAAGGTGACCTGACCTCGGACTCTGTCCGTCCCATTTTTAGATATTTTGTATACTATATAATGAATCAATTAATTGAGAAAATGATAAGCAGATTAATCGATAATTGAAATAATTGTTAGTTGCAGCCCAAGATAACATAACCATTAATAGAAATTGAAATTGAGACGTGAGTCAGAGATGCCAAAGTGCATATACCAACATTTGGTAAGTAGAGCTTGAAACAATAAAATGTGTCCAAAAGTGTAAATGGCCACACTGTCAACTACTCAACAACCACTGAGCTACCTGTGTTATCAGTGTTTACTTCTTTTCTGGAGACCCACTTTAAGAAAAATGACAAACCATTGCAACCCAATTCACAAAAGGTGTCTTATCGTGACAAGAGCGTATTTGTGCGTAAATGAACGTTCCTGACCATTTTTACCACAATTTCCTCATCACCTGATATTATCTTGAAAAGGTAATCCAGTCATTATGAAGAGATATACGTTTAAATCACAACTTTGTTTTTTATGAATGCGTTATTGAAAACATAATACTTTATAATTGTATGCTCTCCTTTCACATTAGATTCAATGTAAAAGTTTTCAGAACAATACGAATATTCAGGCTCCCTCATGTGGCTTAGAAGTGAACTGCAGATATAAATGTTAAATAAAAGACTATGGAAGATATTGTGCTAACATATTTAGAGCGACCCTAACAAAATCTGCTGCGATCCACCTGTGGGTTCCGACCCAGTCTTTGGGACTATGCCCATTAACTAAAAGCTAGTCCCACGTTTTTGAATTTTTAACAAAATAACATTCTTCTTTGTCAATGTGTTATAATTCAAATTGTGGTTCTTGCAAATTGTCTCACTTTTTCTAATGTTGATTTTAATACAAAAACAATGAATCACTTATTGAATTTACCAGCCCCCAGATTAAAAAAAGCTCATAAACATCGTGGCGTTGGTGTCTTGGTTGGATCGGTCCATGTGGGCTAATGGAGGGCAGTAGAAACGAGCAAACTTCTATCCTGTCTCAATTATACATGCCAGGGGTCGGGGGCCAAGCAGCTCTGTGCCTCTTCGAGCTGAAACACAAATCCGTAGCAGTCGGAGAAAAATAGGATGAAGGGGATTGCATGTCTATCTCAGTAACTTGGGCTAAGAGTGATTTATGAGCAGGCTGGAGACTGTGAGACGGTGAAGTGGAGCGAGCGGTAGCTTACACGCTGTATGTAGTGCGCCATGACTCTGCCACTCTCAAAAACCAGCACACAGCAACGTTGCTGCACTTGAGATTTCATACACAATCCCAGGCCACTACGCTGCATGCTGGGTAAATCCCTCCTGAGAGGCATTTTAGATGAGAGAAAAGGTCACAGTAAACTGTTCCAGTGCAGCGTAAACCTTTCCAAAACTAACAAATAAGATGTTGGTCGACAGGTCGGTCAGAATGCTAACAAATTTGGGAGTTGTGATATTGTGTGGGAGTATTAAGTCCATTAAGAGTAAAAATGTGGAGGAAATAGTGGGTCACACACCTGTGGATGGAGGGGATGAATCATCCAGCTAAACTGTAAATTCACCAGAGTTTGAAAAGTCAGACTGAGTCCTTCACAAATTTAGGCTACTAATGCGTCAAAAACATATATAAACTTATATTACGCGCACTAGGAAATTTTAAGCGTGACGATACTGCATATTTTATTTGTTTGACAAAAGCAACAAAACGGCCAAGTGTGGCCAATGTTGCTCTAGCGCTCGTTGACGTATTTATATTATTAAATATTAGCAGTGGGAACAGGCGAACAGCCTTTTTCTCACACGAAACGGAACAGGGTGAAAAAAAAACATTTGATTGGGTGATGCTTTGTGAAAAAAGACAGACAGAGACCAGCACTTCACACCACAACAGGTGGCGGGCCTCAGTTTGTAGCTGATGTAACGCCGATGCTGAAGTGTCTTAAACTTGCATTCTCTCTACTGACCAGCAGGGGGCGACTCCTCTGATTGTATAGAAGTCTATGAGAAAATGACTCTACTTCTCTCTTGATTTATTACTTCAGTAAACATTGTAAACATGAGTTTATGGTCTCAATCTCTAGTTTCAAGTCTTCTTCAATACAGCACGATGTTCATTTAGTAAATTATGGTCCATTTAGAGTCAAATAGACCATAAAGCAGGGTATGTTTTAGGGCGGGGCTACCTTGTGATTGGCAGGTCTCTACCAGAGCCATGTAAAGTGTCTCTACCGCGGCGTCTTCCCTCCCCGAGTCCCAACATGGTCACTTCGGTTTACTGGTTGCAAAGCCAAGAGGACGACGGCAACTCTGGGCTTCAAAACAGCGGTCCACAAGCTACTAGCATGAGTGTCAAGTCAGTGTATAGTGCTGTATTCCCTAAACCACGGCAGCGTTTGAGCAATCCAATCAACTCAAAGGATTTGAAAATGGGTTTCGAATTACCAAAGACATTTATGGTGTCACATCTTGGCAATCTGATGAGGCAAAATGCTCAACGCGAAAAACGTTATCTGGTTCAAAACCGAGAATGCGATCACTGGGAAATAGTGCAAAGAGAATCCTCGCAATTTAAGACACTGGCTGGACAGTGTTGAGGAGAAGATGAAAGACTCACACATGTCCTGATAATTAGACAATTGGAATTGATTGAGAAATGGGACAAATGGACGGCTTAAAAGAACCTTCACAGAGACACCATCAATTACTTCTTTGATGGCCGCCATCCGGATCTTCTCATAGTAGTGCAGAGGGGCATGGGGGGTGCTCATGTTGTAACCGAATCCAGCCACTGCTACTTCATCACAGTTATGGAGAGCCATCGTTATGGCGACAGTCCCCAGGGTCGGGATATTCTGAAAAACACGTGTTTGAAAGCGGTCAAGATATTCAGAAAAAAATGTGTTTGAAAGCGAGCCATGACTTATATCTCAGAACATGTAGAGTATGTAGTGAACGGTGTAATTTAAACTGTATGGTTATCGTGTGGAGATCTTACAGATGTGAAATCTGAAGAATGGTTCTATTTATAACAGCATAATGGTAACACATTGTTGTCAGACTGAGTTCTGGGCTGGGTGCTCGGCTCCCTGAGGCGTCTGCTGTGTGTTCACAGAGGCCTCTGTAATGCAAAAAGACAGACAGTGGAGTCGGCTACCAGAGGCTCCAGTCCTGACCATTAACTCGCCGCCGTGTGTGAAACTGCTCACTCTGTTCCTGCTACTTCTCAACCCAGGAGCTGAACAGAAAGTGACTGCTAGGAGAACGGCAGGTCTCTCACCCCTCTGCCCATCTGTCCATTGTTGTGAGGCAAGCCAATGAGCTTGAAGGAGGCCTCCTGGATGAAGTAGGGGTTCAGGATGCGCATGTCGCCGGGGTCCCTTGGAACGTGCCTGGCCACCGACTTCCAGAACCCATCAGTGCTGTGCTGAGACACAGAGAGTGAGGAAATTAGTGCGGCCCTCATACTGTACAAAATGTGCACAGTCGGAACATAACTATACGAAGGCCATCATATCGACAAATACAGTTAAACCACTGTTCACACTGAAAATTATACAAAATTTAAAAGAAATGTGCAAGTAATTTCCAATAGATTTGTAGAGCATATTGAAACAGCACATGACTTTAGAAAAGTTAGAAATAGATAGACAAACTACTACAGACAGTCCCAGCTGGTCAATACAGTAGAGTATTTAGCAGTTTTTTCTCTGGAGTCGGTGGAGACCAAAAACAGAGCTAAGAGGAGAGTGAATATTGGGCTTGTTGCTCCGTGTAATGTGTAAACAGGGAACTGTCTGCTAACATGTTTTATTAAGTATTATTGAGTTCTTCTGGCCAAAACCCATTTAATGAAGCTTTGAGTGCCACATGGGGCACAGAGCTGGGACCATTCCGATCCATTCTGATCTACATGTTTTATTTTATATATTATAGGAGTTAATAGGTTGTAAACAATTCTTAGATAGTGACAGCTCTCCCGTTTTGATCCTATTTTAAGGTTCAAAGCAACAAAGCAGTATTAAATAACAGTTTGGCAAAAAAGCAATGTTTGAGATTTGTTTACAGCCCAACCGATACATGATGAGTGGGACATTTTACAGTTGACACTGTTTCTCAATGTCTGTTTCTCAATAATTGTTAATTATAAGGCGACTTTTGCGCCTTATAATTACCAGCCAACATATTGGCCCAGCCAATTCATCCATCAGGCATGATGGATGAACTACTACTACTGATGGATGAACTACTACAAATTTATTGCAGGAGCTAATTAAATGTGAATTTAAAGTAAACTACTGTAGGGGACGACCGAATTCACGGGGCCCCTTTTAAGGAAAGGGGCGTAACCCTGGTGACAGGGGGGGTTAAAGGGTGGCAGGAAGTGAATGTGAAGACATGTTTGTATGGATGGAAATAAACGGCCACAAGGTGCAGCCAAAGGGAATACTCGCCTCCTTGTTCCTTTCCACGCTCCTACATTGGTGACCCTGACACTCCTGGACGTTTCCAGAAGAAAGGATGTCGACGCACGCAGTTTTGCTGAAACTGCCGGAGTTATGGGAGACGGCGGTTCGCTCAAACTGAGGCGCAGTTCGCCCTCAGAGACATTACAGCGGATGCGACAAGATATTATTATGTCGTGGCGGCTCTCGGCAGTTCGACAGCAGGCAGAGTGGTGAGCATTCTTGAAAATCCTCCAGAGAGGGACAAGTACGATACCTTGAAAGGCCGGCTGTTGAACATTTTCGGGCTTTCGGACTCTGAGCGGGCTCGCCAGTTGCTTGCTCTGAATGGCCTCGGCGACAGCAAGCCGTCGGAGCTGATGGACAAAATAAGGTAAACACGAGCCGGAGTTTCTGTTTACTGAACTTTTTCTGCAGCAGCTCCCGCTGCAGGTGCGGGCCGCTTTGGCCAACACCAGGATTACCAATTGTCGGGAGTTGGCCGAGGAGGCCGATAAGTTCTTTCTGGCTGGCCAACAAAGCTACACGGCCGCGTTGAGGCCGGCCCAAGCCACGGCGTGGCCGGGGGAGACAACGATCGTTGCCGCAGCAGCAGCAGCGAGCCAACGCCAGGGATCTACCGGTCTGTGCTATTACCACGCAAGGTTTGGGCCGCGGGCTACAAGGTGCCATCCACCATGCAGTTTCGGCAGGACGGGAAATGCCAGGGCCGGCGCTCAGTGGCTGCCGTGAGCGTCGGGTGGGAAGGCAGGCTGCTGTTCATCCGGGACGACGTTTCTGGGCGGCGCTTTCTCTGCGACACGGGGGCGCAGAGGAGCGTTGTGCCTGCATCGCGGGTGGACATGCTGACAAACGGGCAGGGCCCCCCTCTGGAAGCGGGGCGAACGGTACCCCCATACGCACTTTTGGGACACGGTGCCTGGAGCTGTGTTTTATGGGGCAGCGTTTCAGCTGGGACTTTGTTACTGCCAAAATTGCCATTCCCCTGCTTGGCGCGGATTTCCTATGCGCTTATGGACTATTGGTGGACGTCAAGGGCCGCCGCCTGATAAATGCTGTGACTTTTTGTTCTTACCCATGTACATTAAGTGGAGCGGGCTCTACCAGGTTGACTAGCATGCTTGCAGCGGCTGATGAGTTTCTGCGTCTGCTGGCCGAGTTCCCAGACCTCTCGCAGCCCACATTCTCCTCCTCCACGGTCAAGCATGGGGTGGAGCATCACATCTCTACCACCGGCCCACCGGTACATGCCCGGGCCCGGCGCCTAGATCCGGCAAAGCTCACCATCGCCAAGACAGAGTTTGAAAACATGGAGCGCCTGGGCATCATTCGCCGCTCCGACAGTCCGTGGGCTTCACCCCTGCACATGGCCCCGAAGCCTGGGGGCGGGTGGCGCCCGTGTGGAGATTATCGCCGGCTCAACGAGGCAACAATCCCGGACCACTATCCGGTTCCACATATTCAAGACTTTTCTACCCACTTGTCGGATAGCGCGGTGTTTTCGAAAGTGGACCTGGTACGAGGTTACCATCAAGTGCCCGTTCACCCTCTGGACATTCCCAAGACTGCGCTGATCACTCCGTTCGGCCTGTTTGAGTTCTTGAGGATGCCGTTTGGCCTAAAAAATGCAGCGCAGACGTTCCAGCATCTAATGGACACGGTGCTGAGGGACCTGCCTTTCCTGTTCGTCTACCTGGATGACATCCTGGTGGCCAGTTCGTCAAGAGCGGAGCATAGGTCTCACCTCCGGACTCTATTTGAGCGACTCAGCCAGCACGGGTTGATCATCAACCCGGCTAAGTGCCAGTTTGGGTTGACCACCATTGACTTTCTGGGTCACCGCATCACAAAGGACGGGGCGGTTCCCCTTCCGGCAAAGGTGGAGGCAGTGACTAACTTTACACGCCCACTCACGGGCGTGAGTGGGCGTGCAGGAGTTTTTAGGCACGGTGAACTTTTACCATCGCTTTATTCCCCAAGCAGCACAAGTGATGCGGCCCCTGTACGAAGCCCTGAAAGGCAAGACCATCAAGCAGGCTGTGGACTGGACTGAAGAGAGGGAACTTGCGTTTGTTGATGCGAAAACGGCTCTGGCAAATGCAACAATGCTGGCACACCCGTCACCTAAGGCTGCGATTGCCATCACCACGGACGCTTTGGACTACCCGGTGGGCACGGTGCACGAGCAGTGGGTGAAAGGGGCGTGGCAACCGCTTGCTTTCTTCAGTCGACAGTTGCGGCCTAATGAGCGGAAATACAGCACTTTCGATCGGGAGCTCCTCGGCCTCTTTCTGGCCATTCGGCATTTCCGGTTCCTGCTGGAGGCTCGGCCATTCACTGCGTTTGTGGATCACAAACGACTGACGTTTGCCATGAGTAAGAGCGCCGAACCATGGTCTGCACGCCAGCAGCGCCAGCTCTCCTTCATATCAGAGTTTACCATGGATCTACAGCATGTAGCGTGCAAGGAAAACCTGGTCGCAGACTGCCTCTCTAGGGTTGTCACCGGGGCTGTCCAGTTAGGATTGGACTATAACAAGATGGCAGAGGATCAAGTTACAGACCCGGGCGTCCAGGAGTTGAGGACGGCAGTTACGGGACTGCGGTTGGAGGAGGTCCCGTTTGGCGAAACTGGCGTTACGCTCCTGTGTGACGTCTCCACAGGCCAGCCACGGCTGGTTGTTCCCGACGAATGGAGACAACAGGTTTTCAATGCTATTCATGGACTGTCACACCCTGGCAAGAGGGCGTCTCAGAAGTTGGTCTCAGCAAAGTTCGTCTGGCATGGGCTGAAAAAGGATATACGGAAGTGGGCCGGGACTTGTGTGGTGTGCCAGCGCTCCAAGGTGCACCGTCACATAAAGACCCCTTTAGCACAGTTCTCGGTTCCAGAAAGGAGGTTCGATCATGTGAATGTGGACTTGGTAGGACCTTTGCCCCCATCCCGTGGTTTCACACATCTCCTCACGATGTTAGACCGAACCACTCGTTGGCCAGAAACTGTCCCGTTGTCATCAACAACGGCGGATGAGGTGGCTCGGGCGTTTATTCAGGCTTGGATCGCCAGGTTCGGAGCCCCAGCTGACGTTTCCTCGGACCGAGGCCCACAGTTTACATCAGAGCTTTGGAATGCAGTTGCAGAAAGCCTAGGGGTGAAGCTACACCGCACTACCGCCTACCACCCGCAGGATAATGGGTTATGCGAGCGGTTCCACCGGTCGATGAAAGCTGCTCTCCGGGCCAGCCTAAAAGACAACAGTTGGGTGGACAGGCTTCCGTGGGTCATGTTGGGGCTTAGGACAAAGACGATCTGCAAGCTTCATCGGCTGAGCTGGTTTATGGACAGCCACTGCGGGTCCCGGGGGAGTTTATCCCCAAAGTCACAGACCCTTGGTCTGCAGCCCAGCAGCGGGAAACGCTCCTGGAAAAAGCCAGGCTGTTCAAACCAGTGCCCACGTCGCAGCACGGCCTTCCGCAGTCATACGTCCCGTCCAGCCTCAGGTCAGCGGAGTATGTGTTCATTAGCCAGGACGGCCACCGTGGACCCTTTCAACCCCCCTACGTTGGGCCGTTTCGGGTGCTGGAGACCGGAGACAAAACCTGCAAGGTCGACATGGGCGGCAAGCTGGAGTACGTAGCGGTTGACCGCCTTAAACCAGCACATCTAGACCTGGACCAACCGGTACGGTTGGCAGAACCCCCACGGCGGGGGCAGCCTCATGCCCTCCCACCTCAGCACGAAAGTGGACAGGGGTGGAAAATATGATGGTGCTTAAGCAGCCCAGTGAAAGCAATAGCCTGAGCTGAGGCCTGGGGGGAGAGGTCAACGTCATTAAAACGTTGATGAAAAACAAGCGGAGCAAACAAAGCCAGTCAGAGAAGGAAGCTATCAGTATACCTGGGTCCATTAACCTAATTACCAGCAGCCTGCCCGGCAGTCCTGATGTCTATTTATGAACAG